TCGCATATTGACACACAGCACGTACACAACACAACACAGCACACAGCACATTGACACACAGCACGTACGCAGCACATCACAGCACTACTCAGCACAGCACATCTCGCACAGCTCAGCACAGCTACTTTCTCGACGCCAGAAGGGGGTGCGCAAGGGGTGGTCCCTCAGCGCGGTCTCTCTACGCGCCAATGTTGCAGGGCCTAGCACGCGTGGCAAGTTCTCGACACCAGAGGGGGTGCGCAGGGGGTGGTGGCCCAGCGCGGTCTCTATACGCGCCAATGTTGCGGGGCCTAGCAGGCGTGGCACTTTCTCGACACCAGAAGGGGTGCGCAAGGGGTGGTCCCTCAGCGCGGTCTCTATATATGCGCCTATGTTGCAGGGCTTAGCAGGCGTGGCACTTTCTCTGCACCAGATGGGGGTGCGCAAGTGGGTGGTCCCTCAGCGCGGTCTCTATACGCGCCTATGTTGCAGGGCCTGGCTCGCGTGGCAGTTTCTCGACACGACACCAATGGGGGTGCGCAGGGGGTGGTCCCTCATCGCGGTCTCTGTATGCGCCTATGTTGCAGGGCCTAGCACGCGTGGCACGTTCTCGGCACCAGAGGGGGTGCGCAGGGGGTGGTCCCTCAGCGCGGTCTCTGTACGCGCCTATGTTGCAGGGCCTAGCAGGCGTGGTGCACTTTCTCGACACCACTGGAGGTGCGCAGGGGGTGGTCCCTCAGCGCGGTCTCTACACGCGCCAATGTCGCAGGGCCTAGGAGGCGTGGCACTTGTTCGACACCGGAAGGGGGTGCGCAGGGGTTGGTGTCTCACCCCGGTGTTTCTACGCGCCAATGTTGCAAGGCCTAGCAGTCGTGGCAATTTCTCGACACCAGACGGGGTGCGCAAAGGGTGGTCCTTCAGCGCGGTCTCTATACGCGCCAATGTCGCAGGGCCTAGCACGCGTGGCACTTTCTCGACACTAGAGGGGTGCGCAGGGGGTGGTCCCTCAGCGCGGTCTCTATACGCGCCAGTGTTGCAGGGCCTGGCAAGCGTGGCACTTTCTCGACACAAGGGGTGGTCCTTCAGCGCGGTCTCTAAACGCGCCAGTGTCGCAGGGTTCTCGACACCAGAAGGGAGTGCGCAGGGGGTGGTCCCTCACCCCGGTGTCTATGCGCGCCAATGTCGCAGGGCCTAGCACGCGCGGCACTTTCTCGACAACAGAGGAGGTGCGCAGGGGGTGGTCCCTCAGCGCGGTCTCTATACGCGCCAGTGTCGCACGGCCTAGCACGCGTGGCACTTTCTCGACACGGGAAGGGGTGCGCAAGGGGTGGTCCCTCAGCGCGGTCTCTTTACGCGCCAATGTCGCAAGGCCTAGCAGGCGTGGCACTCTCTCGACACCCGGGGGGGTGCGCAAGGGGTGGTCCATCACCCCGGTGTTTATACGCGACAATGCCGCAGTGCGGTCTCTCTACGCGCCAGTGCAGGGCCTAGCAGGCGTTGCACTTTCTCGACACCAGGGGGGGTGCGCAGGGGGTGGCCCTTCAGCGCGGTCTCTAATCGCGCCATCGCTGCGGGGCTTAGCAAGCGTGGCACTTTCTCGACACCAGAGGGGGTGCGCAAGGGGTGGTCCTTCAGCGCGGTCTCTCTACGCGCCTATGTTGCAGGGCCCAGTAAGGCTGGTGATTTCCCGATGCCAGAAGGGGGTGCGCAGGGGGTGGTCCCTCACCCCAGTGTCGCAGGACCCCAGTGTGCAATGCCTGAGGGGGTGCGCAGAAGGGGTGTCTATACGCGCCAATGTCGCAGGGCCTAGCACGCGTGGCACTCTCTCTCTCTCTCTCTCTATACCAGAGGAGGTGCTCAGGGGGTGGTCCCCCAGCGCGGTCTCTATACGCGCCAATGTCGCAGGGCCTAGTAGGCGTGGCACTGTCTCGACACCAGAGGGGGTGCGCAGGGGGTGGTCCATCACCCCAGTGTGCATACGCGCCACCGTCGCAGGGCCTACAGGCGTGGCACTTTCTCGACACTGGAAGGGGTGCGCAGGGGGTGGTCCCTCACCCTGGTGTCTATACGAGCGAATGTCGCAAGGCTTAGCAGGCGTGGTGTGTTCTCCGCACCAGAGGGGGTGCGGCCCTCACCGCGGTTTCCATACGCGCCAATGTCGCAGGGCCTACCAGACGTGGCACTTCTCGACACCAGAGGGGGTGGCAGGGGGGGTCCTGCACCGCGGTCTCCATACGCACCAATGTTGAAGGGGTCAACAGTCGTGGCCCTTTCTCGACATGCAAAGTATCAGCGGGGCAACGGCCACCAACATCATTCTCCCATGCTTCACTTCAGTTATCATCACTCCAGCCATACTATAAGTACATGGGGTGTCTCGGTCGAGTAATTCTAATCACATGGAAAGCGATCTGCGGCGCCCACGAGGCAACGAACACTATGGAACGCGATCCTCGGCGGAAAGCCTCTGATCAGATCTGAGAGAAAGAAAGATGCTCGGCGGCCCCTGGGCCCGCTCGGCGGCCCCGGGCCCGGCGGGCCAGCAGGTCCATCTGCGTCCCTGGAGGCCCCAGGCGCTCGACTCGAGCGTGCAGTCTCCCTCCTCCCTTCGCTTCCTCCGTCCTCCGCCTCCTGTCCTCGCCCTCCCTCTCCCTCCGAATGCTGGTACGATATGTGGTTCGGAGCGGGCAGGTTCATCAACGGCTGCGGAGGCCCCCTGCCGCCCCTTCTGGTGTCGAGAAAATGCAACGCCTGCTAGGTCCTGCGACATTGGAGCGTATAGACACCGCGCTGAGGGACCACCCCTTGCGCACCCCTTCTGGTGTCGAGAAAGTGCCACGCTTGTTTGGCTCTGTGACATTGGCGCGTATAGACACCGGGGTGAGGGACCACCCCCTGCGCACCCCTTCTGGTGTCGAGGAACCGCCACCCTTGCTATGCCCTGCGGCATTGTCGCGTATAGACACCGGGGTGAGGGACCACCGCTTGCGCACCCCGAGAGAGTGCCACGCCTGCTAGGCCCTGCGACATTGACGCGTTGAGAGACCGCGCTGAGGGACCACCCCCTGCGCACCCCCTCTGGTGTCGAGAAAGTGCCACGCCTGCTAGGCCCTGCGACATTGGCGCGTAGAGAGACCGCGCTGAGGGACCACCCCCTGCGCACCTCCTCTGGTGTCGAGAAAGTGACACGCCTACTAGGCCGTGCAACATTGGCGCGTAGAGAGACCGCGCTGAGGGACCACCCCCTGCGCACCCCCTCTCGCCGTGCGAGCCCGAAACGGATAGCGCTCCCACCCCCAGCTCACCCCCATGTGGTCCTGTACGTGCCGTGCAGGTGCTGCGCGTGGGTGAAGGGAGGAAGGAGGTGGAGGGCTTGTGTGTGTGTGTGTGTGTGTGTGTGCTGTGCTGTGCTGTGCTGTGCTGAGCTGAGCTGTGCTGAGCAGTGCTGTGCTGTGTTGTGCTGCGCTGCGTGAGAAGGAGAAGGATGATGATGATGATGATGATGATGATGATGATGATGATGATGATGAGGAGGAGGAGGAGGAGGAGGAGGAGGAGGAGGAGGAGGAGGAGGAGGAGGAAGGGAGGTGTGCGGGAGACGCGGGTGCGACGCGGCAAGGATGAACACCAAAACCCCACGAAACATGTGGGGAATCACAACACACATCCGCGTCGTGGAACTCTACTTCGCCCACGCACCCGGGGACGCTGTAAGAACATCCGGTCCCATCACTCTGATTATGCTTCGCTGCGTTGTGCAGCCTTCTTACATGAAATTATAGCCCATGCAGTGCAACACGACACCATGCTACGCTGCGCCATGCTGTGCCATGCTGGGCTATACAATACTGTGCTGTGCAAGGTTGCAGCATTGTGTTCTATAGTGATACACGCGGCGGTTTCATGTTATGCGTTGCTATGCGGCGCTGTGCTTTGAGTTGTATGGCACCTCATTACAATGCGATTCATCGCATAGCCCCGAATTGGGGCCGAGTTGGGTTCATTCCCAGCCTTCCTTTCTTTCGCCGGGCCTAGATCAGGTCACTGATGGTTGGTTGGGCCTTCGCTCCGAATACTCCTTATTCCCTGTTTTCCTGCTGCCTCCTGGTCGTCGTCCTTCCCCCCCTTCCTTTCACCTCCCTCCTGCTCGACTGCTCTCTATGCTTTCGTGGTCTCTCAAAACTCTGGCTCTTTTTCGATCGTAGCTCTGTGTTGTCAGCTTGCGCTCCATGGGGTTCAGTAACATGCCCTCCTAGGTAGGAGCGTCGTGACTTACCGTCCCCATGGAGTTCCAGTGGGGTGCTTCGCCACGCATGCCCAAACCAGACCTGAACCAAACTTCGCCTTCTCGGGCGCAACTGGACCACCAAAAATCGTCACTTCCTACGCGGCATGGGGAGTCCAGCGGACGAGCCGGCCACGCGGACCTGCACTGGACCTCGATTTCTCTGGTTTGCCAAATGCAGGCTTCCGGATTTCAGCGAGATCTGCCGCAGTCGACCAAGACGTCATATGCAATACCATGCGGAGAGGAGGTGGAGGAGGAGAAGGAGGAGGTCGAACCCCTCGGTGTAATCAAAACTTAACCTGAATGTGTGATTTTGGGCACTCTTATACACCGATGTGCAACATCTGTGATGACATCCCAGCTCAACAACATTGCAAAACAAGCGCGGTATCATCCCATACCTCGGTTGGCGATGCTGTACTCCAAAAAAATTGCGATGCGACGAATGAATACCGTACAAGCAATCGTTGCAACTGAAGTCCGCAACTGGCACCGTGCCGCAAACTAAACGCAGACACAACATCAATGTTGACGAATCTCCGTGTTGAACATGCGACTCGTGCTTCGAATATCATTGCCGCGATTTGGCTTGTCAGATCGTCACGCATTGACACCTTCATGGTCCATACATCTGAGGTCAAAACTGCCATATCTACATCAAGTTGAGCAGGCAGCTCCGGTACCAAAACATGTACGTTTGACTTCTATGCCGCAACTATGCGCTGCGCGTCTTTTTCCGGAGAAGCGTCGACTAACATTCTGGAATGAAGGTTCAGTCACCCATGTTAGAAGTCTTCCCTCGGCGCGCTCAATCGTGCAAGGCTCTGTACTCACAAAAATGGCTGGCTGACCGTGGGCCAATGATCAACAGGCTTGGACCTGCGTGATCGAAGAAAGAAATAGATTCGCAAGCGGGTCGTTCGACGATCGTGGCCGAATGACCCCGATATCGCGAGCCCTTCGACGAAGTGTCGTCCTCTGCCGAACTGGACATGTCAGACCGTTTTGAATCTGTCACCACCCACAGGCGCGGCCTTTGCAGCCGGGAATGCGAGTGGGGGCGCTCGAGTGAGCACATTGGTGCAGACCCCTGCCAGCTGCTCCCGCGGCCAAAATGGCTGCCCGAGGGCCAGACCCAAGGATCCCCTGCCTGGCCAGCGCTTCCGCGGTTGCAGCTGATGTGCCGAGAGGCCGTGGAAGCGCGGAGGCAAGGGGCGTAGTATCTGGCCAGACTCAGACTGGCGGCAACGAAAAGGTTTGCACGGCGATGCCAGTGTCGGAGGTCGACCTGGGCAGCTCTTTTATGGCCCCTGTCCCAGGCGGTGAAAATGCCAGTCGCTCGAAGTATGAGTCAGCATCTGTGCCAACTTGTCGGCTGCCAGCTGCCAGCTTCCTCACTGAGAGGAGTGGGACTCCACCAGGCAGAGCGCCAGCCTAGAGGAGGGGAGGAGGAGGACGACGAGGGAGAAAAGGAGGGGTCAACTGGCGGCAACTTCTGTGCCTCCGGCGTCTCGGGCGGTGTCAGACCGTTTGCCAGTCCCTGCTCGGAGGGGCGGGGGGAATGCCAGCACGTGCTCCTTGTTTCTGGAGCCCCTCCCCTCTCCCTCCCCCCAGCCCTTCTCCTCCACTCGTCTTGCCTCGGCTCCCGTTCCCCGCCCATCCCCCGCCCGTCTCCTTGGCGAGAGCTTCGGTCGAAGCTGAGGAAGGGGCTGGCGCGGGAAGCGGGGGGGCATACGGAGGAGGAGAAGGTGGAGGAGGAGATGGAGGGCGAGGAACAAGCAGATCGGAGCAAGGAGGGCGACATGAAAGAACCCGAGGATAAGAAGAGGTGTAGTGCGAAGAGGAGGAGCCAGAGGAACATAGGAAGACAACGAGGAGGAGGAGGAGGAGGAGGAGGAGGGGGAGGAGGATGAACATAAGCAGGAAGATGAGGACGAGCATCGCAATTGACACCAACATCTTAGCTTTGACTCCGATACAGGAGAGCATGCCAGATCGAAGGATCGACATGTCGGTGATATAATGGCTTGATTGATGGATCGATTGCCTCGTTGATCGTAGTGCAGATTGGTACGTGGCCTGATTGGTTGGCCTATCGACTGCCTGACTGTTCGATCGAAAGATCGATCGGCTGACTGCCCTGGCGGCCATGCGTCCGGGCCAGTGTGGAAAGCTCAACTCCGCACAGAGGTATCGACCAGAAGTGCGGGAACAAGAGCAGATGCTCGGCAACCTGGCGGCGTTAAAAATGGACGCAATGCGAACTAAATCTTGCTACGCTCACGCATTGACGGCCAGACCGTGCACTAACACTCAGAAGAGAGGGTAATGATTCCTCCCTGATGGACCAACCTCCATCACTGTGACGCGGCTGGGCTCCACCCTGTGCCAGTCCTTTGGGGCTCTCATCAAGGGCTACTGGGAGGAGGAGGAGGAGGAGGAGGAGGAGGAGGAGGAGGAGGAGGAGGAGGAGGAGGAGGAGGAGGAGGAGGAGGAGGACACAGGACTAGGGCGGGGCTGGCCGTGCTCAGGCGTCCTCGTGGGCCTTTTCCCCGGTGTCAACTAGGAACCCCGCGCCGCGCAACTCGTGGAGCAGCGCGTCCACGCACGACTTCTCGATCGAGGCCTGCTGCCCCAACTTCCTCTGCAGAACAACCAGCAGCGACCGCATGGACAACGCTCCAAAAGCCTTCTCCAAAGTCCGCAGCTCCCGAGGCTTGACCCGGCTGACAGCGGTGGCCCCCCCGAGCCCCGTGCGCTGCTGGCTGATGTGCGTCTTGAGCGTGTCCGTGGCCAAGTTCATCATGGTCATTTTCCTTTCGAGGATGGGCGCCGAGATGCCGAAACACTCGACCGCTGTCATTGCCTCCAGGGTCTTCCTGTGCTGCCTCCCGAGGTGCACGGGCCGGGTTGGGTGCTGGTAGTGGCAGAACCTGCACGCGCCGCCGTTCGTGCACTGGCCCCGCAAGAAATACAAGCACGGCCGTACGCACATCTCCGGGTGGCCGAAGCTCCCAGCGTTCTGGTGGCTAGCGCCCATGGCGCTGGCGTCGACACTGGCAGGTGCGGCAGGGTCTCCCTCGCCCGCGAGCGCGCTGGGGTCCTCGATGTCGGTCGCCCAATAGCTGGACTGGGGCATGCCCGCGCCGTCTGTGTGCGGCAACGTGCCCGCTTTTGCCCTCAGAAGCACGTCGGCGATCAAACAGTTCGTGACCGGCACCGTGTTGGGATCGTCTACGTGGGCCACGGCATGCTTCACATTCGCATTGGTCGTGCGCCTCAAGGCCCGCATTGTCTCGGAATACATTTCGGGCACCGCTTCCGCGATGTGTAGTTTTGCGTCCTTCAAAGCCCGTCGACTCACCCCTGCGTCCTGCGGCAAGCTCCTTAGCACGCGATCGCAATGCCTAGTTGCCTCCCGCTTGGACTCCTGCACGGCCTGATCAACCGCCTCCCCAGTGATCTGCTCCAGCTCCTCGGGGATAGTCCACAACTGCGTCACCATTTCTTTGCTCTCAGGTGTGTTACTCTTGATGATCTGCATGATAGCACTTAGCCTCAGTCGCATCGCGCCATTCGCCTCCAATATCTTAGAGTCAAACGAGCTCCTGATGATCTCTGGGATTTTCCCCAACTCATCGATGGCTACGTCGACAACATCATCGTCCCCACCGCTACGGCGAATTGCCTTCAGTACCAAGGCCAGGTCGGTTTTGACGCTTTCGGCGAGGCTCTTAGCCTTGTTCTGCACAACGCTGTTCAGCTGATCGGGGAGGTTGCCAATAGCCTCCGCGGCGGCTGACAAGCGCCGCTTTTCGAGGCTCGTCCTCATCGTCTCACGGCTGTTTGCGGCCCAGGCTTCTTCCATGTGCTTGGACAGCGCAGCGGTGCTGAGGCGGTCGGCGTCGAAGACCTCGTTGCGGCTGGCAGAGGGCTCGCTGCAGGGCTCGCTGGAAGGCCGAGGACTGAGTAGGCCCTGGTGCTCGTCGTCGCGCAGCTCGAGGAACGTGGCCTTCCACGACAACTGCTCGCGGCTCTCCTTGCTCGTCGCGTCCCCAAGGCTCTGCTTCTTGGGCGCTCTGGCGAGCCCGTGGCTTCGCGTCCCTGGGATCCTGGCCCCGCGCTCGGACACCGAGCCTGCGCTGCTGCCCTCCGACAGGCCGTTGCCCGCCGCATCCATGCTCGGACCCGTCTGGCCGTTCGCAGCCGAGCCGTTCACGGGCGCCTGTGCCGAGCTGCGTGCGTCGGCGCCGTGCAACACCGCGCGATCGTCTGCTCCCTCTTCGTAGGCCTCGTCCTGGGAGTCGCCCTTCGGGTCCGCGGACAAGAACTTCCTCATCGTCTTCCGGTCGTTCGAGGCCCACGCCTCTTCCATGTGCTTCGACAGCGCAGCCATGCAGATGCGGTCGGCGTCGAAGAACGTGCTGCGGTTGGAAGACGACTCGCTGCAGGGCTCGCTGGAAGGCCTAGGACTGAGTGAGCCCGGGCGCTCGTCGTCGCGCAGCTCGATGAAAGTGGCCTTCCACGACAACTGCTCGCGGCTCTCCTTGCTCGTCGTCACGCCCCCGAGACTCTGCTGCTTGGGCGCTCTGGCGTGTTTGCTGCTTGCACTTGTCGTAGTTCTGGTGCCGCGCTCTGAACTCCAATGTAATGCTGTTTTGCTAGCTGAGCTGCTGTTCTGAGAAAGTCTGCCAACCATCTCATCTGTGCCAACAGCTGTCTGGCCGTTCGCAAGCGAGCCGCGAAGCACTGAGAGCTTCGCGAGGACCTCGGCTACAGTTGACGTCGACACCAAGGTCGATTTGCTGCACTCGTTGCCGTCGTGCATCACCGCGCAACCGCCTGCTTCCTCTTCACGGGCCCCGCCCGTGGCGCCACCGCCGCAGTTCATGCCAAGCTCAACTTCTGACACCTGCGCCGCTACCTTGAGCCAAACTTGTCTGAATGAACATGTTTAGGGATGAAGGATGACGGTTGCGACGATCCTCATCGTACGTTGCGACAAAGCCAGGCTACCCAAACACACACACACACATCGGCCACTCTTTCCAAACATCCTGTGTTGAGCTAGATCCGCGTTTTGAATCCGCAGCGCCCCGCATCCTCCCTCATACTCCTTCTCCTCCTCCTCCTCCTGCTGCTCCTCCTCCTCCGTCCCTTGCTCCTCTCCTTGCCTCTGCTCTCTGCAAGTCCATGTCGACACGCCCCTCACATATTTCGTTGCCCATGAGGAGCTCCACCGAAGGCCCCAACGGGTGCGTTCACATGCGGCTCCCCCCAATTCAGGCGCACCTCGGTCAAATAATGAAGCCCCAATGGGTGCGTCCACATTCCGTTCCCCCGCCCATTTCGGAACATCGGTCACACATTCGCGGCCACATGAGGAGCTACACCTAAAGCTGCAATGCGTCCACATGAAATTCCCCCATTTCACCGCACCCCTCACACGTCCCTGTCGTCCCCCCAAAGATAGCTCCACCTAAGGCCCCAGTGGGTGCGTCCACATGCGCTTCCCCCTATTTCGGCGCGCTCCTCACGCGTTTCGTGACCCCCCGCAGGGAGCTCCACCTGAAGCAAGCCCCAATGGGTACGTCCACATGCGATTGTTTCCAAATTCAGCGCGCCCCTCACACGTGTCGTGGACCAATACCAGGACGAGCTCCACCGCCATCGTCACACATGCCTTGCAGTTGTCACACTTGCATCTGGTTGGGCCATTCGCCAGGGTAATGTTTACGTTGCTCTGAGCGTGCACATGTATGATGGTGGCAATCTGCCGCATGGGTCTGTGCGTTATCGATATGACCGAGCATGGGAAAACCAACCCTGCCAGCCGGTCAGCACGTAGCTATCTGACTGGCTTGGCTCACCTTTGACACCATCTGCTCCCTTCTTCGATGCAACCAGGTTCCAACGCACGGTCGGTGGTTCCTGATGTACACCACGGCGCCACATCTGAACCAAGACACGTGTGGCTGCTGCTTGGAGCCACCTGCCCGCATGCGGCACGCGTGGGCGCTCCACCGAATCGCTCGGGGCTGCGCACATCGTGCACGACTGCCGACAGAGCACGCTGGCCGTGCACACGACGCTGGAGCGCTGCGCGGCCTGGTGCTGCGAGCAGCACCTGCACCGCTCGCCGACGGAGGTCGCGGTCACTCTGAGGGCCCGGGCAACGCGCGCCCTTGCTGCGGAATGGCCGTGCAGATTCCTGTGCGGTCGTAGCTCCGCCATCTTCCCGCCTGGCGTGCGATCATCATGATCCCCATCATGCGCAAGTGGCAAACCATTATATCGCCCTGGCCAACGCCATCATCACTGCTATCGTCACCAACACCATTATCATCCGATGTCTCGGGGAGGCAGCGGAAGAGGGCCTCGCGGGGCGCGGGCCTCAGAGCTCCTGGACTCCCCCAGCATTTCCACTTCCCCTCCCCCTCCCCGTCTTCTTCTCCCCTCCTCCTCCTCCTCCTCCTCCTCCTCCTCCTCCTGCTCCTCCTCCGGGTCCTCCTCCTCCTCCTCCTCCTCCTCCTCCTCCTCCTCCACCCGCGGCGTGGCCGATACATCCACCACCGTGGAGTGTCCTCAAGTCCCTTAGGGTCTTCGGCATTGGATGCTGTCAGGGCTCGAACCCAAGATTCTGGGGCGCTCCTGGGCTCTCTTGGGTGTTCGAAGATGGGCCCAATAATATCTCAAGGCGGCCCCGAAAGGGGCCCCGAAGAGGGACTCCAACTGACATTTGGAGCCTTTCACTTCAAGATGGGCCCCGAGACCGCCAGCAGGCTCCCACCGACGCCCCCAGAGGCCCCCGAGCGCCCCCCACGAGGCCCCACAGAAATATCCAAGAAGCTCTTAACTCATTTCCCAAGAGACTCCCTTAGCGCAAGCCAAGTGTGAAGACTGTCCAACACATTCTTCATGTCAAACGCCGCTCAAAAGCCCAAATAACCCTCACCCCTCTCGGCAAGGCTCGGTGACATGCGAACTCATATCCCCAATCGCAATGCCGTTCACGCCTAGACGCCGAAGACGTTTTCCACGCAGAGCATGTCCACAGGTATTTTGCTCCCGACCATCCTGTGGTGTTGGGTCCTCGTTTTCAATGCGCAGCGCCCCGCCTCCTTCTTCCTTCCTCCTCCTCTTCCTCCTTCTCCTCCTCCCTGCCTCTGCCCTCCGCATGTCCCCTCTTCGGCACACCCCTTACACCGTGGCCCCACAGGAGCCCCACAGACGGCCCAAATGGCAGGGCCCGTATGCCTGTCCACGCCCATTCTGGCACACCCCTCGCGCGCTTCGTGGCCCCATAGGGACCTCCACAGAAGGCCCCGATGGCAAGGTCCGTATGCCTGACCACGCTCATTCTGGCATACCCTCGGTTTCGTGGCAGGAGCTCCACAGAAGATCCACACGGCAAGGTCCCTATGCTGGACCACGACGCATGGCGGACTCCCGCCCTTTTCGCCCGCCCCTGCCACGTTTTTTTTCACCCCCCCGCCCCCTGCCACATTTTTACCCCCCCCCAAAAAAAAACTCCACCTAACTGCTCCAGTGGCAGGGCTCGCATGGCGCTTCACCTTCTATTCGGCATACCCGTTATGAAGACCGAGGCCTCTCAGGGAGCTCCACCTCCAGCCCCAGTGGCAGGGTTCGCGTGGCGGCTCTCCTCCTTTCGGTGCACCCCTGGCGAGGACCGTGGCCCCGTAGGCACCTGCACGTACGGCCCCAGTGGCTGGGTTCGCATGCCCCCCCTCCCACAATGATCTCCACTTACGCGCATGCGGGGGCCCACCCCGCACCTGGATCATGACCCACCACAAGGATCTCACCGCGCTCCTGCGTGCCTGCTCCGCAGCCCCTTATCCGCGTTACACCGCGGCGCGCAGTATTGTGTAGGGGGGCGGAGGCCGGACGAATCGGGTTCCCAGAAGGCCTTCTGGGAGCATGGGTTTGGGGGGCGTCTTGGCGAGCCTGTTGGGGCGTGCCGTCGTCGTCGTCGTCGTCGTCGTCGTCGTCGTCGTCGTCGTCGTCGTCGTCGTCGTCGTCGTCGTCGTCGTCGTCCTCGTCGTCGTCGTCCTCGTCTTTGTCGTTTCGTCGTCGTCGTCGTCGGTTCGAGAGGGCACTTGGGGCAACTTTGTGCGAAACGATCTGCGGAGGGCCGCGATAATGCGATCACTCATGTTCCCGGTCAACTTCCCAGACAGCTCTCCTGTAGCATAATGGTACTTCGAAGCCTCCAGAGACTCACGGGCCCATGATGAACCATGTCCCCGGAAAGCTTTCTGGGGACATGGTTTGTTGGGGTGTGTTGGGGGGTCTATTGGGCGTTCCCTGGTGGCCCCTTGGGGGCCTCCGGGAACTCTCGGGCCCATGACGAAATATGTCCCCCGAAGGTTCCATGGGGACATGATTTCTTGGGGTGTGTTGGGGGGCCTCTTGGGCGTTCCCTGGGAGCCCCTTGGGGGTCTCTTGGGTCTTCCTGGGGGCCTCTTGGGCGCCTCACAGGGCTTCGTGGGAGCCTCTTGGTGGCCTCCAGGGTCTACAGGCGGCCTCTAGGGCCAGAGACCTCGAAATATCGGTTGGCGGTCCCCCTCTGGGCCCCCTCTTGGGGCCCTCTTCGGGGCCTCGTGGCCCGTCTTGGAGCGATCTGCAGGGCCTCCGAGCGAGGCCGTGAGGGAGCGCTGGGAAGCGGGGAAAGCGAGAACGCCTAAATCCTTCAAAACCCATACGAAAATTAGTGAATCTTGCCTCCCAGGGTCCTCTTGGGGAGCCTCTTGAGTCCATCCTGGAGCGTCTTGGGGTCCTCGTCGGCCGTCTTGAGGGCAACTTGGGCGTCTTCGGGGCCTCTAGGGACCGTCTTGGGCCCTCTCGGGACCTCCATTAGCCTGTCGTGGCTTGCTTCGGGGCGGGCCTGGGCCGCCTCGGGACCCCTCTGGGCCTTCTCTTGGGGCGCTCTTGGGGCACACTTGTGTTGTCTGGGGAGCCTCCTGGGCCGTCTTGGGGCCCTCTTCGGGGCCACGTGGGCCGTCTTGCAACGATCTGAAGGGCCTCCGAGGCCGTTAGGGAGCGCTGGAAAGCGGGAAAAGCGAGAACGCCCAAATCCAAAACACTCGGAAAATGAGTGAATCTTGCCTCCCAGGGCCCTCTTGGGGAGCCTCTCGAGTCCGTCCTGGAGCGTGTTGGAGTCCTCGTCGGCTGTCTTGAGGGCATCTTGGGCGTCTTCGGGGCCTCTAGGGACCGTCTTGGGCCCTCTCGGGACCCCCTTCGCCTGTCGTGGCCTGTTTCGGGGCGGGCTCGGGGCGCCTCGGGAGCTGTGGACCCCCCCCCCACAACCCCCGGTGGGCACCCATGGGGGGAACAGGCAGCGGCCCGCCGCCCCCCCCCGGACATACTCCGAGATAGAGAACCATGTTACCTGGAAGCTTACCGTCGGCTCTCTTAAGACGGGGGCCTCTGGGGGCTTACCGAGGGGCGCATTTTGGCCTTGTCGGCAACCCTATTGGAAACATGGTTGGGGCGATGGGCGGAAGCCCAAGGAATCATGTTCCCGGAAAGCTGTCTGGGAAATGCGATTTACCGCGGTGTCTTGGGGGCCCGCAGGGCCTTCCCTGGGGGCCCCTTGCGAGCCTATGGGGCTTCCGGGGGGCCTCTTGGGAGCCTCACAGGGCTTCTTGGGAGCCTCTGGATGGCCTCTGGGGGCGTCCTAGGAGCCTCTCAGGCCGGAGACCTTGAACTGTTGCGCTCTTCGGGCTCTCTTGGGTCGCTCTTGGGGCTCTCTTGGGGCGCTCTCGAGGCCCTCTTGACCTATCCGGGGAGCCTCCATATGTATGTATGCATGTATGTATATATGTATGTATGTGTGTCTATTTATATGTATGTGTCCATGTATGTATGCGTGCATGCATGCATGCATGCATGTATGTATGTATGTATGTATGTATGTAT